AAGAAACGAACGGACATGGCGTGAGAGGGAACAAGGAGGAAAGATAGTTGTTGGGTTCTTCTAACGGCGCAAGCGCGACGTACACGGAATTAGCGAGCGGCCGCACGTGACGGAGATCTCTACGATGTTACTTGCACACGAAGGCCTCGTCGTCGTCGTCGTCTTGTACTTCTTCGGATCCTAAGATACGCGAATGTTCTCTACTCGAGAGTTAATTTACCATTTAAAATGTATTCTTGGTAATCATTATACTATCACAGGAATATCTTTGCTATTTACTTCAAATCATTCTTATTCATTTATTTTTTGATCAAACAAATAATGGAAATCCTAAGACGAACCTAAACCTTATCTATAATTCTTCATTTATTCCTTCTTTCTACGTGTGGGTTTCGTAGAATCAATGTTTTTTTTACTTCTCGATAGGAATACTATGTATCTATGGTTAATCAATTTTTTGGTTTAGGTTAAGTAATTATTTTTGAGAAAACAAATGACAGAACTCTAAAACGAATCTTAAACTTATCTATAATTCTTCGTTGTTTCTTCTTTCTATGTGGGTTTCGTAGAAACAATGTTTTTTTACTTCTCGATAGGAAGACATCGTATCCATGGTTAATCAGTATATTCTTGTTCTAATACTTCATTGTTCCTTTTTTTCTAGAATCAATGTCGTTTTACTTATTGATTAGGAAGACTTTGTATCCATTAATCAATCTTTTTTTTCAAATTAGGTAATATTTATATATTAGGTTATTATAGATTGATAGTAGTACAAAGATACGAATTCAATTTTGATTGTTATATTTGAGGTTATGTTAAAATGTTTTTTTAATTATGATTCGATTGTTACAACGCGAAGTCACAGCTCTCGTACTTTTCTTGACGTTGTTTTACGCAATGTTTGAGATATATTAAACTCATAGTTAAATTCTACTTACTATTTGCAAACTGCAGTAGTTCAGTAATAGCCATAACGTCAGTTTTGATTTCTGTATTTGAGGTTATATTATCGGTCGTGTAATTAAACATCATATGCGATACAGGAAACAAACAAACATGACTCTAAACCGAATTCTGACGGAATTCTGGGGCGTGGTTAATAAACATTGTAAATGCATTATTTATCAGATAAATATCGATACAACAGAAACGGGTTAATTGTTAACAATTATTATTCTTCTTGATCTGATTTTCGCAGATATTTTGTAGATATATTCGTTGTACCATCCAGAATAAGTGTTGTATTTTTTAAATCCAGCAATGGCGGCCATAATTTTGACTAGCCCTTTACGATTCTTTTGATCTTCGATTTTTTTCTCCCGGAGCTTTGTTAATTCGTTGAAGAAAGACGACGAAAAGGGGAAGGTTCTCACTTATTGTTAGAGCTTCTACTTTATAGTAGGAACCAAATCAAAATGGCGGCCTTTCGAGTTTCGGTAATGCTATGCCGCATGCTAACAAAACTCTAGGATAGAATTCACGTATGGTGTAACTTCTAACGAATAAAATAATATATTGTATTTAATTGTGACGAATCACACACGCGTATCAAATGCACGTAAATTCATCGATTCGCTAGAATATTCCTAACGGACATATTAAATTCATTGGAAATTCTCGTATGTGGTTTAACGTGTATACGATGTGTCGTCCATTTTTAATCTCGTATTCGATTTACAAATTTTATTTTCTTTCGATATAAATAAACCAAATACATTGTTACTCGATAAAATAATATTACAAATTGAAATGATAGATATACGTTTGTGTTAGATTATCCTTATCGACGTATTTAAATCGGTTTCGTATCTAATACAAAAAAAAATGCAATTAGCATTAGCATAGTAATCGTTATTCTAAGCATCAGTTAATTTTTTCCTAAGTTTTATCGTTACTCACTCGTTACAATATGATCAGATTAAATTTCTAGAGTGAAATTCCTAATTACAAATATGAGATACTAATCGTGATACTCAACCTCGTATTTACCGCATTCGACGCGTCACTGAATATACGATTATGGTAATATCATCTATTGCGTCACGCATCGGTAGAAACAGGTAGGGTGACTGTAGATTAATTCATTGGAATTATACAAGGTGTTTCAGACTTAAATGGTGATGGTGTACCAACCTTAAAATATGAATTATAAGACATAGAAAAGTGATCATCAATTTTCTTCGGCGTGGCTTATTGGAATATCATAAAGTTTAATGATTAGGAACGATTAATTTATTGGATGAGAACTGTTCGTATAAATTTCTTTCCGTAATTATTAGGTCAATATTTTTATGTTGATATAATAACAACATCGATACATATCGATACTTTTTAAATATCATCCGAAAAATTTTTTCGATTCGTTTAACATTTTCGTAGAACAAACATCATTAGACCACGTATTTGTTCGTTCATATCAAACTTATCGACAAATATTGCTTATGTATTTGTATAATGCCAATATTAATATACAACAATTAGGAGAATAAATTAATATTAAATTATCATACACTAATAAATTGATCTCTCTCTCTCTCTCTCTCTCTTCTCTCTCTCTCTCTCTCTCTCTTTATCAAACAAATATTCCAAACATAATACATAATTTAAGTTATTACATTTACTTTTGAGACACCTTGTATATTATCGTACCGTATGATGGTTGGTGTCCAATTGTTTGCAATTGCACACATCTAACTTATTTATCCAGGCTGTTTCGCAAATGGAAAACATTAACTCAAGTCGAGCAATCCAACTTAACGAAATGAAAAGCAAACGTTCAGATAACAAATTCGTGGATCAGAATTTGATAATATTATTCGTAGAACATAGAATGGGTGTTTGTTGAGTACTTAAAAAAATACTATTACAATGGCGTCCCTTGTCAATACTTTCCGATTTAAGAAGAAGACCTTTGAACTATCGATAAAAATCAGATAACCGTTAACGAATCAGAACGCAGTAAAGTTAGAAACGAGCAAAGATATGATCCATCAAACTTCTCACGGACTCTACCGAAAAACGTTTTACATTTTTTGTTCTGTTTATCTTAGAAGAAGAAGAAGAAGAAGAATAATAATAAGAAGAAAAGAAATAAAAGTCAGAAGCATTTGTTAAAACGAATACAAAACGGAAAGGGTATTGAATGAAATTCAGTTCATTAAAATAGAAAGAAAAACAAGTGGAATAAGAAGAAGTAGAAGAAGAAGAAGAAGAAGAAGAAGAAAAAGAAGAAGAAAAAGAAGAAGAAGAGGTTATGAACCGAATACTCTCGGCGTTTTCTACAAAATGGCGACCATCCGAGAAGAGAAAGAGAAGAGAAAAGAAACCAAAGATAGAACGAACGTTATCCAAACAGTAAAATAGAAAGGGAAGGGAAAAAGGGAAAGAAAAAAAAACAGAGAGAGAGAGAGAGAGGATAAAGAAATGAATTGAGTGTTCATTGTTGAACGGAAAGAAAAAGAGAGAGAGAAGAAGATGTATAGACGAACCTTCCGAAAGGTTGCTTGTACCCTTAGGAATGAAATAGCTAGGCCACGTTATTGTAGGATTTCCCTAATGCATTTGCAAAGAGGGAGCGAAAACTAGGGTTGAAGGAGGAGATGTAAGAGAAGAAGAAGAAGAAGAAGATGAAGAAGAAGAAGAAGAAGAAGAAGAAGAAAGGGAGGGGTAAGGGTGCATTTATCCAACCTATACAAATCAAAGTGAAATCGGTTTCGTCTTGCATCTTCGGAACTGACGATACAAGTCTGTGAGAAAATCAACCCAAAGAGAGAGAGAGAGAGAGATAGAGAAAGAGAGAGAGAGGAAAGAAAAAAAGGAATGAAGAAAAAAAAATAGAGAGAGAGAGAGAAAGAGAGAAGAATGAGGATAGAGAAAAGGATCGTAGAAGGCAAAAGGGAGCCAGGACAGGACGTTGGCAGTGGCGAGTCTCGTTGCCGAGGGGTTTTTCTCGTATCATGGGTCGAAGAGAGGGAAACGAAAGAGAGAGAGAAAGAGAAAGAGAGAGAAACTGGTGTCGGTGAAAGGGAGAGAAAGATATAGAAAGATAGAGAAGGATAGAAGAGAAGAGAAGAACCCGCTGATCGAGAGGGGTGGGGGAGATGGATGGAGAGAAAGAGACAGAGAAAGAGACAGAGAAAGAGAGAGAGAGAGAGAGAGAGAGAGAAAGCATGGAGGGGTGGTAAAAGAGCGGCGTTCACGAATAGAGGGGAGTTTGCGACTCGTAACCCGGCAGGAAGGCGACCCGCTCTCTCCGGTGGCTTGATAGAGAGAGAGAGAGGGGAAGGGAGGGAGGAGAGGGATAGAGAGAGAAGGAGAGAGAGAGAGAGAGAGAAAGAGTTCATCGATGTGTTGGTACGTACGATGTGGCTTCTCGTTGTGTTACGTGCTACCTAACGAACTGAAAGAAAGAGAGAGAGAGAGAGAGAAGAGAAACTGGGGTAGTATAAATGGGGGGGAGGGTTCGAGGAAGGGACAGGGGGGTTGTATGGAAACAGGGGAGAGAAAAGCATGATATCCATGAGTTCAGAATGAAGGGAACAAAAAAGGGAAGAAAGCGATGGAAGCGAAATTCTTCTGGATAGGAAGAACAGCACAGTAAGCAGAGTATATCAGAGCATAGTACAGCAAGCAAGCAAGCAAGTAAGCAAGCAAGCAAGTAAGCAAGCAAGCAAGCAAGGAAGGAAGGCAGACGAGGCGAGCAGGCATGCCGGTCGAAGGTGCGCGCGAACGCACGGGTGACGGGATAAGAGGAGTGGAGAGGAAGGGAGGGGAGTGAGAGAGAGAGAGTGAGAAAGTGAGTGAGAAGGGGCAGAAGGGGAAAGCAAGAAAAGAACGAAAGAGAGAGAGAGAGAGAGAGAGAGAGTATTCGAGGACGGTGGGATAAAACGAACATTAGTTGAAATGAGAAAGAGGAGTTGAGTGAGCGTTGGTGTGGGACAAAGAGGGGAACCTAGCGAAGGGATGAAGGAAGGGACTGAGGGAGGGGAAAGGGCATAGCCCAGTGGAGGAGCGCTCGGCTGGCGTTCGTTGGAGAGTTAGGTTCAGTTTGGCACGAGTTGCCGTGGTACTCGGTCGTTTGTATTACGTTAGCTTCTCTGCTGCCGCTGCGTGAGTTCTCACCACTGTACTCTCCTCTCTTTCTCTCTCTTTCTTTCTTTCTTTCCCTACCATATCTATCCTACCCCAACCCCCCTCGCAACAACCCATCCCCTACCACTATAACATTACCACCACCACCATCACCACCATCATAACCACCCCACCACCACTACCACCACCATCTCCACCACTACCCCACAATTCTCTGGCACCCGCCGAGCAAGTCTCGATGCCTTCCTCGTCGTCGTCGTCGTCGTCACCGTCGTCACCGTCGTCACCGTCCTCGTCGTCATCGTCGTTGTCATCGTCGTCCTCGTCATTATTTCTATCCCTGTCGTCCATAACAGTAGTAATAGTAGTAGTTGTTGTTGGAATAGTATTAGTGGACCGCCGTTGGCCATTAGTTGTGAAAACTGCCGCGCGGTAGTACTTGGCGCTGTTGTACGGCTCTACTTTTCGTCACCGTCTCTCCGCGCTCGTCGTAACCGAGAATATTCGAGTCTCGTTTCTCGTATCTCAAATGGACGAGTAGTAGACTGGATTATTATTGGAACAGTGCATAAACCAATGGAATAATTATGAATCTTCTGTACGTCTAAAAGGTACGTTAGTTTCTTATTTTTTTCTTTTCTTTTCCTTTTTTTTTTTTCTCTCTCTCTTTTCTTTTCTTTCCCCTATCGTCGAGAGGAGAGGGATGTTGTGTTTCGTGAACACACACAGCTCTCTCTTTTATATACAAGAAGACTTACAGTAGTTTTCTATAAAAGTGTGCGTCTGTCTGTCTGTGTTGTTTATGTATGTGTATATCAGAATGAGAGAGAAAAGTATACATGTATTTTTTACATGTGTCTCTGCTGTGTGTGTGATTGATTCTCTCTACATGTCTCCCGCTGTCTCTCTGTGTAATACGTGCATTAAGAGAGAGAGACCCGCATAATGTAAGTAAGTGTGTGTGTGTGTTATATACATATACATATATATGTGCAATATATATAATACACACAGTTGCAAGAGTTGCACGCGATAACGCGCCTGCAGACGGCGGAGGCCACTCCGCGTACCGCACAAAGGAAAGTAGGAGGAGAAGGAGGAGAACATGGTAGCGATGGTGGTGGTGATGGTGGTGGTAGTGATGATGGTAGTGGAGGTGGCGGTGGAGGTGGGACGGGACGGGACATGATTGACGCCGCGGCGGCGCAGAGTAGTGAGAGGGGCGGGTGGGGGGGGGTTGAATGGAAATGCAATTCTTTTATTTTTTTTTCATTTTGTTTTTTGTATCCTTTTTTTTTTTTATCCTTTAATTTTTTTCCTTTTCTCTATACGACAAACATAACATACACATCGTTAGAAAAGAACGCAGGCAGACAGGACGAAGGAGGTGGAGAATAATGAGAAGGAGGAAAAGGAGGAGGAGGAGGAGGAGGGCATCGAAGAACGAACAGAGAACAGCACCGGTGGGGGGTGCCCCTAACTGTGCATGTATGAAACAACGTAGTAGTAGTAGTAGTAGTAGTAATATATTATATATTTATACGAGATCGAAAAAGATACATAGCTCTCTCTTGGCACTGTCGTATTCCTCCACCAACTTCTTCTTCTTCTTCTTCTTCTCCTCCTCTTCGTAGTCGTCTTCGTTGGTTGTTGTTGTTGTCGTCTTCATCGTCTTCTTCTTCTTCTTCTTCATTGCATCGTTTCTCATGCATGTGTATATACGTGTGTGTGTGTGATCTGGCGGTCTTTTACGCACGCGCATAAACACTTATGCACATTTCTAAAGATAATGCCAGAAGATTAGTGTAATTGTAATGATGGCAATGCCAGTAGCAATAACAATAACAATACTAATTGTAATAATAGTAATAATAATAATAGTAGAAGCAATAGTAGTAGTAGTAATAGTAGTAGTAGTAGTAATAGTAGTAGCAGTAGTATAGTAGTAGTAAAGTAGTAGTAAAGTAGTATTAGTAGTAGTAGAGTAGTGACCGTATTGGAGAGCAGCATACAGCAAACTCGCCGGTTGAACACAAGCAACTTTGAGAGGGGAGAAGGACGGAGAGGGCGGTTCCTCCGTCTCTTTATCTCTCTCTCTCTCTCTCTTTTTCCCTTTTAAACCTGAACCCAAGAGAGAGAGAAAGTTGTATGGTGCGCGCGCGCGCACACACACACATTACCCTAACTCACGTTCATACGTTTGCGAGCGCCCTCGTGCGATCTATCCGTCCATTCGTCTTTATCTTCCTCTCTTTCTCTCCTAATTCAGGGTTTTCCTCTTCCTCTCCCCCTTCTCTTCTCTTCCCTTCCCTTCTGGAATCACCCCTCTTCCTCTCTCTCTTTCTCACTCTCTCTCTTTCCCCTTCTTCTTCCGCCTTTCTCGCGCACACGTAGTAGATACTTTTTGTATTTGCTGATTTTTTTTTTTTTCCTTCAACATAAACTCACTTCTTCTCTCTCTTCTTCTTGGTTTTCTTCTTTCTCCGTTGTGTTCATGTGTTCTGTTCCGTTCCCGTTCTGTTCCCGTTCTGTCCGAGGACAACAAATATCGTGAGAGTAAGTAGGAAGGAATAGTAGGAATAAGGGATAAGAGAGAGTAAAATGAGATAGAGAAAATGATATTGAATGGTAAAATGAAAGTGGTGGGGGTAGAAGAAGGAGGTGGCAGAAGAGGTGGTCGAGAAGGTGGCGTGAAGAGGAGGAGATGAGAGGAAGGCAAAAGTTGTTTTCTTCTTTGCGTTATCAACTCGTTGCATTTCCGATCCAAGCCGAAGACGATCCCCCCCTTTCCCCTTCACCCTCTCCGTTCCCCACGATAATGATACGTAGTATACCAAGTTGAATTTTAAATGCGTACATTTATAACTTTAAACTCGGAGAAAAGATAAATAATAATAATAATAATAATAATAATAATAATAATGTGCGGGATAGTAACGAGGACAAAGATATTGGGAGGAATTCGATATCGTTAACGAAATACCGTTTTTTTTTTCTTCCCTTTTTTTTTGTAAAAGATTTAAACATGATATATAGTTATACTTCTTTTGGCGGGCGTTTTGGAAAGATGAAGTTAGATGCGACCGAAAAATCGACACCACGAAGTTGTCGATATTAACGATGCGCGCGCAAATTGAAGTTATTTTTGAGGTTATAAAGGTTATATTTCGTTTTGGTACGCTTAAGAAGTATAACTTCTTACGTGCGTACATAAGTACAGCACATCAGTTTTGTTTTTCTTTTTATATATAAAATATACTTGCGATCTCGTTGTTTGAGATGCAATTTGATAAACGATGGAAAAATTTGGATTAATGTTATGTTAGAGAAAATAGGAAGGGAAATTGTTGTTTGAAATGAAATTTGTGTTTGGCTCGCATTAGTTGATTAGTAACAAAGATAAGAGAATATAAGTATACGTGAGTAAACAAGAAAATAAAAAGAGAGAGAGATATATATATATATAGAAGTCTGACAAGTCGTATATGTTTGATAGAAAATGATATTACAATTTGAAAATAGAAGAAAAATGTACATTCAAGTTTTCATCATTGTAAGTGTTCTTGAGAAAAGAAATCCTAAAGAAATATTAAAATAAATCTCATGTTTTTTCTTTTTAAATATATCAACATTATACATTTTTTACTAATATAAAAACGAGATATAAATTATTAATATATATTACTATAAAAAAATATAATATGTCTCAGAAATACAAAACTCTACTCTCTCAATTTTCATTGACATGTAATTGAATTAAAAGTTGAAAATTTCTAATGTCTTACGAGGGTGAGGTGGGAACAAAAATAAAAATCTAGGGAATAAAAAGAAAACTAGAAAAGTTAGAAAGAGATAGATAGTGCGAGAGAGAAAGAGAGAGAGAAAAGGAAACGATCGAACGTTTTCTCAGCCAGGTCGCACATTTTTCTTGGTCCTTCGACTTGGTCGCTAGGTTACTTCGAAACTCTCGTTTTATATAGCATCATCCTCGTCCTTGTCGTCCTCGTCCTTGTCGTCCTCGTCCTTGTCGTCCTCGTCTTGGTCGTCTTCGTCAACGTATAGGGTCGTCTCGTTCCCATCTATCTTTCCTTTTCTTTCTTTCTCTTTTCTTATGGGGAAGGGAGGGGTTTAACGCTCGCATGCGTATTGAAACTACGTTTATACGGGGGGTAGGAGGTAAGGGGGTAGGGGGGGAGAGAAAGAGAGATCAGGGAACAGCTGGGGGGGTCTAATCTGTAACTCGGAAAAAGGTACAAAGGGAAAAATAGAGAAAGACGAGTACACGATAAGAGTGGGGAAATAAATAGAACAAAATTCTCGCGAATAAAATAAAATATTTCGGTTAAATGAAAATCTACGAAATAATAAGTTCGAACAAATTCGAATTATTTTCAAAGAAAAATCTCTCGATGATCTAGAAAAATAAATTACATCTCGTTAACAGTTGTTTCTTAAAAGAATCTTTTTTAATTCATATTAGTTTTTTGTTTTTTTTTGTTGAGAAAATGTTGTACCCTACTACTGAGAGGAGGGTTGAAATGTCTTCCCCCCCCCTTTCTACGATTGTGTAGAATTTAAAAAAATAACATCGTCGTCCCGTTTACTTGGCATTCTAATCCAAAAAAAAAATCATCATAGTCTGAAATATTATTGCAAAATAATAATGATATGGAATAATAATTGCGTAAGGGTGTTTGTTAATGTAAAATTGATCCCATGGAATTTGCCGAATGAGATATTGAATTCTATTACTTTAACTTATAAACAATTCTCTATTACTTTAATTAAAATCATTTGCATCATGATTCTACTTAAGTTTCCATGTTCAGTATCGAATGACGTTTAAATTGAGGGTTAGCCCGTATATCTCACCGTTCATTGTCAAATACTCACGCACAGATCGAAAAACAAACGTGTTTCATATGCGGATGCAAATAATAACGTGGGAGGTAGGGAGGAAAAGGGGGGTTTTATTAATTATGTAATTTGTTTAAGAGATACACATAAATTGATGCGCGTATTTGTACTACTTTAACGCTAAATGCAAATATTTTTGTTAGTTGTTTTTGTTTTGCATTTAATATAATATATTAGGATTACGAACGAAATGAATTATCGTTGCAGTAGTCATTGAATCATTACTTTCATGCTATTTATATCTTTGAAAGTATTCTAAATCCCCCTAACTAACAGTTTATGTACACCATTTAATATTACGATCGATCAAACGTAACACAAATTAATATTATTTAATGTAAAATTTTGTAAATTACAAATTTGAAACTTGTTCTACAAAAAATTTCATACGATTTGAGTAAAAAAAAAAAATTCAAATTTTTATTCATAATTTTGTTTTCCCCCCTATTTTCTATTTTTTTTTATATATTTTCTTTCAGGATAAGAATTAAAATGCGTTAAAATGCTGGACAAGATATCCTCTTTCAATTTTAAACTTCGAAAAAAAAAAATAAAATAAAAATACTTGTCGAGAGTTTTGTAATCGTTTGTGATCGAAGTCACGTCGATAGGTACCTACGGTTTCAGACTAAGAAAACAGCAGCCTACTGAATAACTTCTACGAATAAATATAATCTAAACATCAAACAACGACAAACATTTGCAAAAGCCAATGTAAAAGTTTTAACTCGTAAAAACAAAACCTTTCCAGCGTGTCCACGTATTTATTATCTATACAAAAATACGTATATCCGCGGGTGGAAAGATAAAAATTATTCTTGATCTCTCGAAACCAATTAAACGCGGAATTCTAATGATACCTTTTTAAATCATTTTTATCAAAGAAATATTTTGTTCCTATTTTAAATCGGAAACATCATTCACGTTCTTATTTCATTATCACAAAACGTCGAATTTAATTCCAATTAATATCAGTCATTAATTGTACCTGATCAAATACGCGCGATAGCGGGGGGGTAAATGAAAAAATTAAAATTATTTATATTACAAAATAAATCATCAAATACGTTTGTAATATCATTTCAGTTGATTCGTGCCACTGTTATTAATTAAAAAAGTAAAGAAATACTAATTAACATATTTTATTTAATTTGACATAAGTGCATAAACTTTAATCTAAACATTATCTAGCAATGCAATTATCTCAAATATTGAAAGAAGAAAATAACATTCACTCGTACCCCATTTTTCTTTTCAAACACTTAATAAAAACTCCATCTCTCAAGTGGAATAATTTTATCTTCATTTATCTCGTTAAAAAATTCGATTATCCGAGTTTTTAAATTTTTCCTTGATCACCCATCCGCCCCCCCTCCCTCCCTCCACCAATATTTAATTCATTGAATTTATTTTTTATTTCTTTGTCATTCTTGTTTTCTGTTTCTTTGAAGCTTACTATGGCGCACGGGAGAATTTTGCTTCTTTCTTACACGAAGTATCCTCGATATAAATAGACGTTAGAGTGTCGAGAACGCGTCTCTAAACGTTCTTATATATATATAACTATTCAAAGACGTTTGCTCGAAGGTGTGGAGAGGGGTAGAAGGGTGAGGGATATGGGTGTGAAGAAAATGAAAGAATTTATATGACTAGATGATCCTTTATATCACACGTATATATGCAAATACGTACACCCAACGTACTTTATTGAATTGTCGTACAAAATTCGTATCAATTGAAAAGAAAAAGAAAAAGAAAAAAAATAAATGAAAAGTTTTAAGCTACGCGTTCGTATCTCGATATAATACGTGCCGATTATTATATTTTGAATGGAAAATATTTCTTTCTCGAATCGGTAGGAATTTTCTGAACTATCTAATCCAATATGGCGACCGTCTGGAGAATCACATGATCGAAAGTAAAAAGGTTTGTGATAAATGTTATTCGTTATTAAAAATATATGAAATTTTTGAACGTATTTTCTATATAAGTCAATATGTGTGCGTATGTTAATATTTTGTATAATTAAAATAATGAATGTAATTAATGTATATAATTCGGCGCGAATTTGCCGAGCAACGCGATAAATAGGTTAACTTTTATCCAATATATGGTATCTGTTTAATATTGGGTATCATATTTTTTAATTTATCATGTTTTACAATAACTTTAACGCACATAAAATTGACTATTAGCATACGCCAATTAATTTATTATGTTATAATTTACGGACAACCAAGTAAACAGGCAAATTCTAACTAATATAAAATCTTGCGATATTGCATACCATATTTTCAATTCTTCATTTTTCATTAGAAATTCAAGATAACTCTTAAATTTGTAGAAACTTTACATTTACAGTAAATACATTTGTACAATCAAGTATTTTAGAGTAAATTTCAAAAAGATATAAATTGACAACGTTTATATATGTGACACGTGCATATCCAATGGAACTGATGCACACGAAATTGTGCAATCGACTGTTATATCTTATTCTCCTGTTATCAATTTTTATACATAAATAGATATTCGTGGGGAAGCTGAACAAGGAGACTGGAAGTTCAATGGATAAAGCAGTTGCCTTAAAAGCGAAAGATCCTGAATTTCGAGTCCTCCCGGTCTCAAAAAGAAAATTTTGCAGGGGGGGGGGGATTATGTTACATAATATGCGAAAAGACAAAAGTTCGAAAATTTTCTCGAAAATGAGAATTTGTAACAGAATCACGTGATGTGCAAGGAAGTGGCACGCGCGATCTTTGTTTTATGTTTTTTAAATATCTTTATTTAAAAAAGAAAAAAGTAAACATTTTGACAGAAGCATAAGTTATACCTCCAGGGGGTGGTCATTATTTCGTGGCCACCCTCTCTCCGTACATACGAAATGCACAAATAATATCAGGGAGGGGTGGCCATCACTCGAGGCAACCCTCACCGCCCATCACTACGTCATCATGACGTCATCTCCACACAAAAATTAATTTAAATAAAATTAATTTTTATATTTTCGAGACCGAGAGGACAATTTACTCGGTTCGTGGACAGCTGTTCTACTCATTGATCTATGCAGGATCTTTATTTAACACGTTAACACATAAACATATATTTATATTTAACAATTGGTAATAAGAAAAAATACCTTTACATTGCACTATATTTTTTATTTTTTTCTTTCTCTTCATATATTCGGATATATGTTTTAAATTTTGCACTTACATTATAAAAATAATTATAATATTGATTATTTGATTTAATTTAACTATATTTTATTAATTTCATTATTCTCTCGTACCCCTAAAGTATTTATTATATTTCTTTAATGTGAATCTAATTTTTAACATAGATTAACATTTAATTTATAAAAAAGAAAATACGTTAAAAAAAAACGTATTACATTATTATCAAGTCGCAATTTTGTGTTGATAATCCATTGAATATTTTATGATTATCCTACTAGTTGTCAGGAAACTTTAGAAAGTACTCAGATATCATAGGAATTGGATATTCCTTCCAACCTATTCCAATAGTATAAGGTGTACCTGCCTGTAACAGGAATAATGCATTCTTAACTCCAATCATTACACCTTTATTCAATCCTCTTCTAACAAGCAACCCCTCAATCCCCTCATCCTCATCTTTTTATTCCTCTTCTTCTTCTTCTTTCCTCTTGAACATTCTATTTCCTTATCGAACGTACAAAACTGATCGCCATTGATTCGGTCGGTCCTTATTCTCATAACGATGCACTTGATATTTTCTTTGATCGTAATCGTTGGGATGTATGTTGTATCAAAAAGATGTAAATTGGCAACGTTTATATCTGACACGTGTGCATCCAATGCAACTGGTAGCACAGGTCGGTAACGAGTAACCGCGATAAAGAATCGTGAGATACGATCAGAGATCTGTAGGATTAATCGGTATTGAAGCATATATACATATACATATACATATATATATATAGATATATATGCGAGGGTTCATGATGTGTATACATAGGAGAAAAGCCGATAAAATAGGAGGTGGATCAGTAATAATGCAGGATAATTAGAAATAGTTTTGACAGTGAAACGTAAAAACGATTCGAAAGAAGAAATGACAAAATGTTTTAATTTTTAAACGAACGATCAAACCGAGTGGGAAAATGAACATAACATGACACGACACATCGTCCACAATAGGGGTTATACAAATACGCACACGTACACACACACACAAACACAGAGAGAGACGCACTTACGTACATACATAAGCTTTAGCATCAGATCGATCACATGGGGATGGGGATAGGAGGGTGGGTGGGGGTGAGCAGGGGAATATTGGAGAAAGAAATAAAGGAAGAAAATGAAGAAGAAAAAAACAATTCTTCGTGAAAATGTAACGAGCAACGATTATTATATACCACCGGTGGTGTCTTAAAACACAACTGACATAAATTGATTGGAAATGAATGAACATTTACTGAGTAATATAATATAATTAACGAACAATATAATTGTATATTTTATAACGAGTTATAAAATTAAAGTAATACGGGAATAATAACAATGAAGAATGTGAGAATAAAGAAAAACAATACGAACAACCCCTTCCCCCCCCCCAACCTTCGAAAACCCCGTATCATTGAAGTTAGGGATAATTGGATAAGAATCACGTGTTTTGTGTTATTTCGAATTGAATAAAAAGAGGGTCCTCCGCCGACTTATCGCGGCTTCGTAAAATAACGCGATATTCGATCAATAACAGGCAGGTAGTGTATTCGTCGGTATGCATGCTCATAAATACGCATACGAGAGGGACGTTCGATGGCCCTGCTGGCTGGTTGTCGGTGCTCGGAGCTGTGCTGTGCTGTGCTGTTCTGTGTTCTGTTCTGGTGTATTACTACTGTGTGCTGCTATGGTGGTGCTGCTGCTGCTTCTGCTTCTGCTGGTAGGGTGATTTGGGGTGGGGATACCAAGGGAACTACGAACGGTTGGATAAAAGTAGAAAAAAAAAAACAAACAAAAAAGATGAAGGTATTTTCTGATCTTGCGGACTGTCATGGAGATATACCTGGGGAGGGGTAAGGGGAACGGATGGATAGGTCATCGCACAAATCATCGAACAACCAACAAGTCGTCGAATAGAAGAAGCATGTCGCATGTCCATTCATTTTTCTCTATCCTTTTTCCTTCTTCTCTTCTCTTTTCTTTTTTACCCTTCTTCATTTTTCTTCTTTTTCTTTCTTTCTTTCTTTCTTTCTTTCGCACTCTTTCTCTCTCACGGATTCTTTCAACACAAGAATGGCGGGTCTACCGCGACGAGCGGGACACAACCAACGGGATTCTAGCTACCTGAGAAACCTTCGGGAAAGTGGGTTAAGCGATTGTGTGTGTGTGTGGTTTGTGTTTGTGTGTGTCCCACACGGGACGACACAACCGGTGCACACAACACACCACCGTTCGCATGTATTGCGATTAGATACCTCATTGCGAATAAAAAACCGATCCCTAAACAAAATATGAAAGACAGTATCGTTATTATTTCGAATTTGATTTTATTCATTTTTCGTATTTTCATTTGAACAATCTAACGATCTATCTCAATTCGCATTAATCTTATTATTGAAATTAATGTAACTTTGGATACGAGTTGGTTATTATTGATATTATACTTTTTGTCTCTTTCAGTTTTCTCCTAACGAACGGTCAACAAAAGGCCTCAGGAAGAAAAAGAAAAAAAAAAAAAGAGAGAACATGGCAGGGGTCGGAAAGAGAGCTCTTTTACGGGACGTGAATCCCTATCTCATCTGTCCTCTATGCAGAGGATATTTGATAGATGCGACAACGGTCGTAGAGTGTTTGCATTCTTGTAAGTAAAATTATATTTGCGAATGATATATTAATTTGTGTTTATTTTTTATTCTCTATAACCCTTTTCCTCCTCCCCCAACCCCAATCCCCCTAATAATTATTCGTTGCCGTGTTAAAATCAAATTGGTTTGATATGAAATTATATTTCCATAAGTTATCATGGGGAGGGGGTGTGTTATAGAGAATAATTATTAATCAATCGAAACAAACAAACAAATATTTATCATACCATTCGATTGTCTACAGTTTGCAGAAGCTGTATTCTAAAACACTTGAACAAAGAGGCACGGTGTCCTACTTGCAATCATGCGTTGAACAAGGCTAAGCCAAACATCAAGTACGTTAACGATATATCCTCCTATCGATTAAATTGCAAACACTTTTGATATAATATTTCGTTAATTTATATATAATAAATGAACAATATATTATTTGTTTTGTGTTTCTCTCTTTAGAGCTGATAAAACATTGCAAGACATCGTGTACAAAATAGTTCCTGGAATTTATCACAAAGAGATGAGAAAAAGAAGAGAATTTTATCGAGGACATCCCCAATATGGTAAATAGAATTGTTTCATATTATTTTTTTAATACGCGTATGTGTATACGAAACAGAACACGATAATTTCATGGGGTTTAAAATAAAAGTTCACGGGATGAAGAAAAAATTAAAAAAAAAAAAAAAAATGAGAGAGAGAGAGAAAAAGATGAATGCGTAACAACAACAATGTCAAATCTCGTATCCTCTTCCTTTTCAAATTCAGCAGATGCCGCGACTCCGGAGCAACGAGGGGAAGATGTTAGCGGTCGATTAATCTTTGCGCCTGAAGACGCAATCAGCTGTAGTCTCGAGTACCTTCCACCTGGTGCCGATCCCTTGACGATTTTGTCGAGTACAAACGAACCGGATCATTCGTCTAACAATAATGTTAATAATAATAATAACAACAATAACACTATTAACAACATAACCAACAACAACAACAGTACCGTTAATACCAACACCAACAACAACAATAATAATAACCCTAGTAAAAACAATAGTAATAATAACAATACCACGAAATACAGAAGGTATCTTCAATGTCCTGCTATGGTTACCATGGGACATCTTAAAAAATTCTTAGCCATGAAATATCTGATCGATATGACCAGACACACTATCGAAATATGTCATCGAAGGGCACCCTTACCGGAACATTGGACACTCATGGACATCGCTTATATCTACGCGTGGAAAAGGGTAAAGATTTTTCTTTTTATTTTTCATTCAAGCTTTCAATAATAACAACAACAATAACAACAATAAAAAAAGAAACAGCCCTCTTCTTATTCTCTGATATATTATTCGTTAGAATGAAAATGAAAATGAAAAAAAAAAAAAAAAAAAAAAAAAAAAAAAAAAGAAACCGCTTAAACGCGGACACTATCGTTGCCGATCCATCTTCCAGGTAAAACCCTTCAGGTCAAATTTTCAACCATCAACCAACTTTCACCCTCTCGTTCTTTCCTATACTTGGTAATCATTTTTGGCATATGGGTGTATGTAGTTTATTTGGAAGGTGAATCGACCGGTTTTAACAATGTTCCTTCTTGCCGGAAATTGAATGATTTATTGTGTACCGTACGATTTTGCATTTCGCTTGTTTTTCTTTTTTATTACAGAACGCACCAATGAGATTTTTTTATCGAGTCGCACAAGAGGAACAAGCTTTGGAAGCACCCCAACACGAGAGGCCGTCGACCCCTGGATTGGGTGCCAGTTTACCACCGATTGATAATTTGGTCAACGCGAAGGACGAGAACGAGGAGAAACAGAAGAATACGAAGATCGAAAATAAAGTCGAGACCGAAGAGAAGAACCAAGATTCGAAGAAGGATGACGATGTAACCAAGGAGAAAAATGAAAATGAATTGCCGAAGAATAAATCACCAATGGCAACAACAACAACAACAACAACAACAACAACAGCAGTAGAGACTACTTTCGATAGCTCGAAAAAACCTAAAATTATCAAAGAAGAACAGAAGGTAATGGATATATCATCTTCGGTTGTTGATAGAAACCTATCGACAACCTCGACGTCTACCGTGATAACAGTGACGTCAACGATCGGTACTGTTGTATCGTCATCGAAAACCAGCAGCACAGTTGCGAAAACAACTACGTCCTCTTCAACTACGAAACCTCTAACAATTGCTACTGATACAGCAGTTGTTAATTCGGTTGCATCTAAAACTGTGGTCCCGCTTACGTCTACAACGACTACGGCTACGGCTACGACTACGGCTACGGCTACGGTTACGACAACAGCTTTAACTGTGGTTCCAACTATATCTACAACTGCATCTACAGGTACAAGTACGAGTACGACTACGGCTACAACGATTCTGACATCGCCAACAGTGAATACAGTGTCCACGACGACGACGACGACGAGTACGACAACAGCTTCAACTAATACGACGATAACATCTACGGTTAACGAAGACGGGAATAAACTGATCAAAACGCCAATTAAAATATTGAAAAATTCCGATGGAAATTACGAGGTGTTGAGGGGTTCACCCACTCATTATCATTCCAGAGAACAGAATTCTAATTCTTGCGACGTCAAAGGCACGAGCCCTGAATTTAGTGTTGTAAGTATAGGGGATGGACAAAATTCCAACGGAGTGAAAATAACTCTTAAACAATGCTCAGTTGCTAATAATAATTCGAAAAAACCAAAAGTAATAAGTAATGTTTTGTTACACTGTGGACAGGTTGACAGGGAACCATCTGGTGGATTGCTATTCCAACATCTTCAGAAAGATAAGGAGAAACTACAAACTATGGAGAAACAAGAAAAGCACAAACGTAAAGTTACTTTCGTGGACAAACCAACTACGGTAAAGAGCATGCTTAATATGTCGAAAACTATTATTAAAAAGGCCGCCGAACAAAACGACAGGAAAAAACAATTCCTTCAAGGATTTCAATTGGCGGCTAAGGAACCGCCGCCGTCTATCGATAATTTACTTCTAGATAAAACATCGAAAATGATCAATGCGAACAATGCAAGTGTAGTTAGTGAAAATATTGCGCAAATTAATTCGATCGTTTGTAAGAAAGAACATAATAACGTTAAAAATAACGGTTTAGATAAAATCGATGGAATTATTGAGAAAACCAATAATATCGAGAATGGTAACGTCGGATTCGGAAATTCAATGAACGATAAAAAATGCATTAATAATACGATAATGAGTGTCTTTCCTAATATGAAATCTAATAATGTTAATAACAAATCGTTTATCGATACCGAGACTCGCGTAATAGGTATGAATGCTAATAGAAATATAAATGTAAATGCCAACGTTAATAATATCAATAATTCCGCAAAAATGGACGTTTATACATTCCCAAACGATCCACCCGTAGTCCCGGTAGGAGCCGTTAAAAGAAAATGTCCACCCGGTTTACCTATATCCGAAGTTAAACGTAAACGACAGCAAACGAGTCAAACGCAATCCGCGAAAAAATTGGCAAATATGCCAACGCCGCAAAATCTTCCGAAAACACCTAGAAAGTGTGCAACCGATCAACAACAACAACAACAACAACAAATGATATCACCAAAGAAACCTATGAACGTTGTTAATGATTCCGGTCCTAGTCGTGCAATTAATGTTACATCACCTAAAACCTCACCTCAATCTAATCAATTATTTTCTAACGACACGAGAAATTTATTGGACGGTTGTGGTTTAAATATTCCTGCGAGTTTAAGTATAACGTTAACTGCACCTAAATCTCCCGGTAATAGCGGTAGCATGAACGACATAAGTGATACTAAAGACAATCGAAAGAACGTTTTAGGAAAGGTCAATCCAAGTATTACACTTAACGATAGATGCGTCAATCCTTGTGAATTGAAAGCATTAAAGACTGGACAAATGAGGATGCCTGTTGCTCCCCCGCCAAAGCCAAGACAAACGAAACAACAAGTAGATCGCGATAATAATCATCCACGTCAAACTAATGCTTCCGGTAATAAAAGGAAACGAGGAGAAGAACCAAGAGATATATTGGATCTAAGCGGTGGTAAAAAGATGGATATACATCCTTTAAGAATACCACAACCGGTAAAAAAACTCAAAGCTAAATCGCCGATAAGAGAAAATATACCTGGGATGATCGATCAAGGACAAGTGGTTACATTGATGAGCGGGCATAGATACTACAGAGCACCACCTGGTTCTTTAACACCTGCAGCTCATCGTGTCAGTGATTGTCCACTTCCTACACCTGGACGTACTCCAGTTTACGCTTCAACCGGATTATCCAGCTCGATTAATGGGAATCGTACAAATTCAAATCTGACCACCGCTTTTCCAACCTTGAAAAGTCTTTTTGCTCTCAACCAAGCACCGAATCTTCAACAGTTTCAAATAGACACGATGTTGAGATTACCGCGGGCAGGAGTAGGAGGAGGGGGAGGAGGAAATAGTGGTGTTAGTGTTGTAGGTGGAGTAAGAGATAATACAATTCCAAATAACTATCTAACTAATAATATAGCAAATTCCGAAAGTGCTAGTGTTGGTGGTAATGTACCTGGTAAGAGTCATTTAGCTGCACAGTGTGCTCCAGTGAAACCCGCTAGATCCTCAGTTGCACCTTTAGCAGTTCCTATATCGAAACATCAATCCAACGAACGGACTGTGTCTAATTGCTTAAACAGAAATGATACCAATAAAAATGTGACACTTCGAAATAACGATACTTCATCTATAAATTCCGGAGATCTTGCTGAGAGACTTTCCGTTCAGCTAAGATACTCGCCAGCTCCTGAAAATAACGACAAATTCTCAGGTAGAAAAGATAACGGGAAATCTAGCAACAACGATGTCAAAAACGCGACGTCTCCTACAACCGCGACTGATCTTAACTTAGAATCGATTCCAGATAATTCAAACGAACGTAACAATTCTCCGAGTCAACAACAACAGCAACAACAGCCACAACAACAACAGCAACAGCAACAACAGCAGCAGCAGCAACAACAACAACAACAGCAACAGCAACAATACAATCGCGAAGCTGCCAGTCCAAGAGTATCATCAACAGCTTCACCATCTCCACCACCTAGTGAAAGTAACAGCAACGTTTGTAGCGATGAAAATAGAAATAGACAACACGAGGAGGACGGTACTGTTAATCGTTCGGATGATAACAACCGAAATGCCGATTTATCAGCAGCACCATTGAACGTTTTAAAAAATATTTCGAACACCGAGACCTGGAATTCAAAGTCTCCCGCAAGTCCAGATTCTAGTTCCGTCGCTCCTGAAAATAATCATCTTCCTAAGAATAATCCCAATAACGTTGATCAACTTCAAACTTCATCGTCTACACAAGAAACTGAACGTACTGTTAAAGTTAACGATTCGCCAACTAACAAATTGGAATCTAGCATAAACGAAAAATCATCCTTAGACTCGGATAAAGGTAAAATAAACTGTGGCAAATTATTGGACAACAAACAAATGAGCTCGGAAATGTTGCAGAAAAGATTTTTGGCGGTTTTCCCATCTAACGAATGGGCCAACAATCCGATTGCTGCCGAACATTTGGGTAATTTCTTAAAAAGTTTGAACGAATCTATTAAAACCGAAAACAATACGACGGACCAAACTAACGATAAGAAGACAAACGAGAGTGATAATAAGGATTGTGCTAAAGTTACGTTTGCAACGAACAATGAAGTGTCCTCGAATCAACAAAAGGAAATATTACAATCCGAACGATCATCATCGTAATCGTCGATTTGTTGGAACTATTTTCTTTTAATGATTTAACGATAACGAAGTTATCATATGAGGGGTCCATCTCTCTCAGTTTATGATTCTCAAGAACTCTTTACGAGTCAGACACTGCCATTTATTAACTTATCGTATGTATCTAAAAACGTATATTAATATACATAATAACTTTATTACCTGCTTTCATTGCCCAAATGCAATGTGCATTAGGTATATAAATATATTATATTAAACAAAAAAAGAGAAAAGGAAAAACAAAAAAATGAAAAAGAAGAAGAAGAAGAATATTTTGAAAAAGTGCGTAAAAACAAAGGTCGTGTCGAGAATAATGAACTAGGAGAAACTTTATTTTTTTATATGTGAAAACGTCTCTCACCGTTGCTATTACACATGTGGTATTGTATATGTAACTACTACACGTATACTTTAGCAATTTACACCTTTAAACTAAACTTTTTTTTTCTCTGTCACCTTCTACAAAATATTGATGATTTACGAATTGTATGATAACGTTTACTCTTTCTAAATTTATTATTATTATTATTATTATTAGTATTATTTTATTTTTTATTTTTATTTCTTTTTTTTAAATTATTAACTTACAAATTAATATATGTATATATATGTATATTCGATTAACTTGCATATAGTAAGAAAGTATCTCTTATCAAATAGTATAATTATTAATTTAAGTAATTAAGTATTATATAATTAAGTTGTTATACAGGGGGGAGGGGGAAGAAAAAAAAAGGAAAGAAGATACCTACTACTACGTTTATATGTAAGATATTCTCGCGTGTGTGTATGTATCGTTCGTCTAGCTTCAAAGAATTATACTTTATAAGTTAATTGCTCGATATTTACGTATTTTATTATATTGTAAAATGAATTGAAAAAAAAAAAAAAAACACAATGGAAGAAAGAAAGAAAGGAAAAAAAAAGAATACTCGTAATTAGTAAAAATTTGGCAATTAGAAAATGATCAATTATTATAATCCATAAGGATTCTTTAACGATATTGATTTATGCAATTAATTTCGATTAATTTTATAATTAACAAGATTTAGTTTGTATGAATTTGAATGAGCACCGCTGGCTGCTCAACATTTTGTTTTACAATTAGCACGTTCATATGCAAGATAAAATGCGAGAAGAAAAATATTCTACAGGTGCGAAACTAACGTTCGATGTTCCAGGCACTTTTAAGTTTTACTCTCCTAAAATATACCAATATTTTTACCGAGAAATTTCATCCGACAAAAAAATTAACTCGACTTTTTGAAGTTTGGTATATTTTTCTTTTATCAAATCATTTAATCATTCATTTTTAAACTCCTTGATTTTTACAATCAAAAAAAGTATTATTTAACAAAAATTGACACGAAATAAAATCTTTTTATAATAATTTTAAAAATGAATATAATTTAATTAATTTTATTTAATAGAGTTAATTAATTAGACAAATATAAATTGGTTTCTATTAGCTGTTGGTCTTTTTTTTTTTTCATATCGTGCACACATTATCTGATTAAAATGATCGATAAAATTATTCGAACATACAAAATTTACGATCAAGGACGTAAGAAAAAAGATTAGGGTAAGCTGAAAAAAAAAATTCGTGCGCGTGAAATTTTTATTCATCAATTTGAAACAATTACGAAATATTGTATAAAAATATACGATAGTTGGGGGTACGATAATTGAACAAAATTATCTAAAAAAAATTACTAATAAATTCTAAGATAAAAAGAAACAACAACAAAATACGTAATAATATTAAAGAAGAAAATCCTAATTTATTTTATT